AAGACTAACTTAAATCAAACCTTTTCTACATAGAAACTTCTGCAGCCACTAGCCCAGTCCACATTTACCTTTATCTTCTGAGCTCCTGGAGCTGCATCACTCATGGCATCTTTATATACTGCCTTGCAATTAAATACTTACTGCCTCCCACTCCCAATAAACTGAGCCTCTTCAGGGCAGTGACTACATTTTATGCTTTTTTGTATCCCTGTTAGTTAGCCCATGGTTAGCATGTAAATGGTTACTGGTCAGAATGCTGCTATTAACTTTAGCAGGCAGAAGATTAGTAAACTGTGAATAGATTTTTAAAAAGAAAAAAGAGGAAGGAAAGAAACCAAGACTAGGGAGCTACGTGAGTGAAGAGGCACTGAGGCGTCTCTGTGTGTCATGATCCAAAGTCTGGATTTTCTCTGAGCCATGTCCTTAAGACTCTGAGATCCTCAACATCACTTTTCTAAAAGCCACTCTAGGCTTTTTTCCTGGGGGGAACATCAGGCACCTGGTTTCCTTTCAAATAATGGTTTTACAACACCAATGGTCATAACTAGCTTAACAACAACAACAAATCTTAACCAACTACAAAGCTGTGTGATCTTGAGCAAGTCATTTAACTATTCTTGTGTATGTCAGTTCCCTCATGTGGTAAATGTAGGAGTTGGATTAAGTGGTCTCTAAAGTCCAATCAATCTCAAATCCTCTACTTTAGCTTTTTTTGAAAAAGCTGAATGGATAAACCTCACAACCTACTTCTTCAATTTATAAAATGAATAAAATATCTATTAATAATTTTAAATACACTGAATAAGAACTCATATTCAGAAAGCAGTGTAGTATTTTGAAAAAAGCATAGAATCTGGAGTAAGACAGACCTGGATCTACATAGCCTGCTTCTTAGTAGATAATAACCCTGAGAAAGTTACTAAATTTGCAGGATTTGTTTTGAGAATTAAAGGTAATGTATGTAAAGCAACTATTAAGCCACTATAAAATCCCATACACACTGGCAACAATCATTTCCCATACAGAAAGCAGCCAAGGTAAAAATATCTACTAAATCACTGATGTCTAAGATCTGAAATACTCAAACTAGTTCATAACTCTGCTAACAACTTTAGATACAGGGATTAGTGGTTGCCTCAAAATTCTGCATGACTTTTCTGCAAGTTTATCAGAGTAACCCCTAACTCCTACAGTGCTGACAGTCTCTTTTCTTAAACATGAGGATAAGAACTACAGATCTAATGTCAGTTTGCGGTCATAAGGGCAAGAGAATAAGATAATACAGAAAGCCCAACGTTTTAGAAAAATAGGACAAGACTGAGATTTGGGCTTAACTCAGACACTATGAAGATATTAATCTTGGCACTGAGAGTTCAAATCTGTAATGAGAGCCAACTGTGTAAACTAAGCAATAGATATTCAATAAGTAATAAGACAAATATACATTGGCTTTTGAGTCCAGGAAGAGAGAGACATACATAATTACAGCATACTAATGAACATAAGAGAATGAATGAACAAGATACAGAGAGTGAATACCTGGTGGGGCTGGAAGAGCGAGGACCAGAGCTACTCTTGTGGCATCTATCCCTTTCTGTAAATATAATACTGTAGATCCGCAACATAAAAACCTATGTAATAAAAACCTTGGAATTGGAATTTATATTGATTACTGACAGGGACTTCTCTTTAATTTTATATATACGGAAACTGAGGCCCTGAGAGACTAAGGAATCATCCAAGGTCAGATGGTTAGCAGCACAGTTAAGACTGGAATTCATGTCTTATGATCTCCTTTCTAGAAATTGGCTTAGTACGTCATATTTATAATTTCAGAATCTTGAATGATAATCCAAAAGACACTGGTATTGTCATTTTCAGCAGTGTAATAATGAACTATAAAACTATTTTTGTTTCATATGCCTCACAAGAAAAACATCTATTAAGTGTCCATATGTCTGACAAAAAGAAATCCCATCCTGAAATCCGTGCCACAATAAAAACACCTCCTGCCCCGCCACAAAAACACAACCTATTCTTCTCTAGGGAGTCTAAAAACTTCCTTCTTCAAAGTCGGGAAACAAATTTGAAATAAGAAAGGCCTAAGATTAATTTATCTTTGTATAATTAAAGATCCAACATCTTTACCACGTTTTAAGATTTAACTTGAGCCTCAGTCTTTTACTTATTCTGTTGTGCTCCCCTCCCCACCCCATTCCTATAATTTTACATACCTGAAATACATTTTTCCTTCACTAGTACGCATAGTAGAAGTGGCAACACTGACAAAATGCCTTATAAATACTGTACGTTTCACAAATTTGCATAGTGACCAAAATTTTAATTTTTAGACCTCTCTAATTTACCCTTAAGTAATGTCTGCTCACTGAAATAAATTCAAATAGTATAAAAGCATATATTAATAATTAATAACTCTCTTCCATGCCTTTGCAACTCTCTCCTGAAGAATCCCCCGAACACTTAAAAGTCTGATGTTTATCCTTACAGACTTTTTTTATGCTTATATAACAGAAGGTGCTAATCCTCAGAGTCAAAATATATTTAACACTCAAACTCTACTGATCATAATTTAATCTCTATTAATTCAGAAGGTAGATCGTTATCTTGCCTGGTTTCTGGTTAACATGACAGACATCAATAATATTATCATTCAGAGGTTATTTTTTTTTTAAGTGAGCAAAACCCCAACTATCCTGTTTATTTCTTCCTTATCAGCATCTCAATTATTTTATGTATTTATTTTATTTATTTGTTGTCTTTCTCTCTCTTGATATAGGTTTCATGAGAGCTGGAATCATTGTGCCTCCATGCTGTGACACCTAGCAGACAATCAAATATTTTTTGACTGATCAGTATGTTTACTTAGAAATTATGAAAGTTGCTTTTTAAAAAGTTACTGACATCCGCTTAATTTTTCATTGGCTTTCAAAAATAATGAGGAAAAAAAGATCTGCTTAGAGTGTTTTTGGCTGTGGTTCCAATCAAATATCTGCTCAACTGATCAGTTTTGATAGTCAAAACTATCTTATAAAATTCAATCAGGCATTTTGGCTCGATCAGGAATTTGTAACCAAAACCAAAACCAAAACCCAAAACAAAAACTTTCAGAGAGTTATGCATTGCTTTGCAGAATTCCCTTGTTTTTTTAAAATGATTACAAAAGTCAAGTATTAAGTAGATTATCACTAATGTTTCCGGTTCTAAGATCAAAAGAAATGTCATTTTAAAAAAAAAACTGTCACTAAGAAAAAGAGTGAGGCAGGCAAAGTTCTCTGCTTTGGCATACTCAAATTTGTCTGTTTATCCCAAATTACAGAATTACTGTGAGTACAGTTTCCACTGCCTGCCACAAACAGACTTCATTTACGGGCCTCTATGATAAAGGAGCTATCTAACCAGAAGAACTGTCAAGCAAAGGAACAGACTGTCTGACTTAAACATAAAAAAAAAAAAAAACCCACATACACATATATACAGGTTATTTTATTTGAATTCCACCTAAGTCTGGGCTAGTTACCAAGGACTCTGCATAGGAGTCAAGACTAACTGTACCTTCACAATAAAACTGTCAAGCAGGATTCTCTAAAAGAGCTGTTAGCCATGCTTACAAGTCTCAAATGACGCTTCTGCAGAGCTCTAGCTTTGGAACTTCGAATTCCAATGCGTTATTTGGAAGCTGAACTTGAAGTTCCCCCTCTCCACAAATGCTTTTCAAAGGACAGGGAGAAGCCAGAACACACTTCCCAGCACTGCCTGACTGCCTAACACTCGAGCAAGACTTCAGGACAGACCTAATAATGCAGGATCAGCAAAGCAGACCACCTAGGAAAGGAAGCCAAAACCTCACAGCCTTCCCTATCCTCAGCGGCTTCCACGCTGACCCGGAGGACACTCGCCCCCTTAAGAATCTACAGTGTACATGCCCACTTTAAGGTGTTGCCTGCCACTCTCCCGCTCCCAGAGCAGGGAGACCAGCACGCCTCCACAGGGATCCCGGGACAGAGAGAAGGAAACTGCAGAACAAACCCACTATTTCTCCAACTAGGCAACGACACGGATCAATCCTTCAACTAAGCACTGAGTAAATCTCATCTAGAAAGAGATTTGTTCCAGGATGCTGACCAGCCACAGACTGTGTACTAGGCTGGCTCGGGATGTCACCAGAGTCCCCTTCCCGCCCCGAGCCGACCCAGCGCCTGCAGAGCCGCGCCCTCCCTTCGAGATCTCCCGGGGACCCGCTAACTCGCCCAGTCTCCCCCGAAAAGACCGGAGGCCGTGCCAAGTTACCGCCCCCCTCTGGGCAAAGCAGAAACCCCAATAAAGACGCTGGTCTCCGCTGTAAACCTTTCCGTCCCCAGCAGCCCACCAAGGCGGTCCCGGCCCCTGCAGGACGCAGATACATCGCCCTCTCGCCCGGAGACCCCGATAAACAGACGGAACCCCAATACACTGCTTCTTTATCCCAGGAATGCGAAACGAGACGCCCACTCTCGCTCAAAGGACCCCCAAAACCTCATGGATCTGCCCCTTCAGAGACCTAGGACCTTCCTAAACTGAATCCTCTGCCCCCAAAGAGCCTGAGATCGCGATAAAAGGACCCCTTGTCCCGGAACCGCGCTATACCACCTCAAGGAACCGAAGGATCCTGATAAATCTCCTTCGACCCCGAAGACCCGGGACCCAATTTGCTGCCAGCCACCACCACCCCAAGCCGGAAAAAAACCCGGACCCCCATTAAACCGCCTCCTCACCCCGAGGAGCCCTGGCACCCGCTACACCGCCCTTGGGCGCCCGCACCCGGATCCCACCCCACTGCCTCCTCGATCCCCGCACTCACGAACCCCTCCAAGCCTCGCGCCCACCAGGCAGCGCCGCGCTGCCCGCGGAGCCGCCCCCGTCGGGAGCCCCCCTGCCCCGGCTGCTCCGTGTCCCCGCTCCCCGACCGCTCCTCAGCGAAGACGAGCTCCGGGCTTCCTCACCTGGGTAGCGTCGGAGGGCAAGAGGACCGGGGAGCCCTCAGGAAGAGAAGGAGGCGGCAGAGAAGGGGCTGCCCAGGCCTGCGTCTGCCGCAGCTCCAACCCCTCCGCGAGGAAGCGCTTGTGTGAGGAGAGCCCTCCCGCTCCGCGCGCAGCCGGGAGACGGAGCCACAGCCGTGCCCACCGCTCTTCCCGCGAGATCGCAGCCACAGCGAGGGGCGGGGCCCCGGCGAGGGGCGGCTGCAGAGAATCGAGTGACAACCCCGAGAGCCTGTCTGCGGCGGGGCAGGAGGCGGGACTTGGAGCCTAATACTACCAATCGTAAAATAGGAAAGGTGATTCGCCTACCGCTTCTCTTCTCCCTCGCCCCTCATCAATAAACTAGGCAAAAGGAGCAGTGACCTTAAGTAGTCACGGGCAGAGGGAAGGTATCTTGGATGGAGAGGTTTGGCTCGTGTCTGGTCCTGGTCAGCCCCCGTAGATATACCTGGTTAGGGAAGAAGGTGGTTTTCACACCGCCGTGGACTGGGGCGCTGTTACCCTCGGTTACCGCGCAGCCTGAAGTGCTCAAGAGGTTCGCCTCTTCCTGGTTGAAGGCGCACCCTCCTCGGGTTACCCAGGTCTAAACCTGTTTTCCCCCCATCGGGGCCTCTCCTCCCTCTCCACCTCAAACAGGGCGCCATTGTTGAGATGCCAGTGTTTTCCCAACCCCTACTAGGGACGTCTGGTCTGACAACGGACACCCTTCTGATTCGTGTTTATTTCTACTGAAAGCCTTCTAGAAGAGTAAAAAGTAAATCTCAGTCACCGTTATAACAAATTCCGAAACTAAATGAAAAGTTGTATCTCTGTGGACCCCAGTGTCTGGCACACGCAGGGCACTGAATAAATGTAAAAGGAATGACAGAAGAACGTGATATTTAAATACAGTCCTCTCTCAGTATCCTTGGGTATTGGTTCCAGGACCCCTGCAGATACTAAAATAGTGGATGCTCAATTCCCTCATGTAAAATGGCTGTAGTATTTGCATATAACCTACCTCCCATATCCTTTAAGTCATCTCCGGATTATTTATAATACCTAATACAATGTAAATACTATGTAAATAGTTGCCGGTGCAACTTTTTAGAACTTTCTGCAATTTTTTTTCCTGAATACCATGATTGGTTGAATCCACAGATATGGTGGCCAACTATGTATGAAATCTGAACCCACTCCAGAAAATTCGGGCTTTCCTAGCCTTTCCTCTACAATGACAGCCAACTTTTTTCACCCTTAAGCCCAGTTTCTTCATTATTATGCCTATCCTATAGCCTTCATTCGTTCCCTGTCCCACAGCAAGAAGTGTCCTTTCTCCTCATCAAGGTTAGTCCCTGCACCTGTGCACTGGATCACAGCCATTCCCAGATTTTGATGAATCAACTATCCTTTCCTTGTTATCAATTTTCCCCTCTAATCTAGCTCTTTTCTCCCACACAGTCTCCTCCATGCTTTGAACAGAACAAAACAACTAACCTCCTCCACCCTTTCAAACTACTCTACCACCTTTCTTCTCAGACTCAGTGCTTAAGAGACATGAAACTGTATTTGCTGTCTTTACTTTCTCATCTCTTGTTTTCCCCACTGCAATGCTGCTTACACCCACACAATGGGCTGATCTCTCAGTGATCACAAAAGACCTCTTTCCTCTTTCTATTTTGGGGGATCTTTCCCAAAGACCATATTGCAGCCTTTTGACAATGCCAGCCATCTCCTCCTTTGGTACCTGCCTAACTGCTTTCTCCAGATTCTCTAGCTACTCTTCTGATTTTTTTTTTTTAATCCTCTTTCCTCATTCGAAAACTATTGCATATTGGCATCTCCTTATCTTATAGCCATGCCTTGTGCGTAATAAGAAAAATGGTTTCCACGCATGGTTCCACACTTTGAGTGTCAATAGGTGGCTCAGACAAAAGCTGTTAGAAGAATCCAGAGGGAGGAGACACGACTATGAGGCTGGGTCTTAAAACAGTAGTTGGCCCATACAAATGCAGAGCAGACACAGAGGCTTTTCAGAGAAAAAAACTGAGTGAACCTGAGCACAGAGGAAAGGATGTAGGCCGAGCCTGGCTATGGGTGCACCAGATTGGTCTACAGAGGATTCCTGTAGAAGAGCAGTAAAAGGTAAGTTTAGGGAAGAACCAATAGTAAAAGGCCTTAAAAACCAGGCCAAGTTGATTCAACTTGATTCTGTATCAAATGGGAAGCCAGAGCCAACCCTAGCATTTGTAGGGCCCACAAAAGGCTACACATGGAGTTCCACATATCAAATGTCTAAATATTATGTAAAAGTTATAAAACAAGCTAACAAACTGTGAAGTTAAAAAATATATCCTTTTGCTTTGACAAATTTTCCTAACAACTTGGAAGACCAGGTTCGAGCTTAGGGTTCTGGGACTTTTCAGAGTTCCCTGCTTGGAACAGAGAGAGCTGGCCCACACACAGAGCAGTCTTCCCCCCTTTTCTTCCCACAGCCAGTTCACCCCCCACTCCATGGATACCCCAGCCCACATGTCCAAGCTCCATTCCCACTTTTCCCTCTACAAAACTATAATTTCTTAGCCCCTCCACAAGTCCAGGAGTTTATATCTCAGGCTCTAGGGGGGAAGACCACAAAGGCCCTGGAAGTGGGCTCAGGGTCATTGGGGTAAAGAATTTTGGCTTCCAATACCTGGAGCGAGATCTGAAGGGGTGAAGTCAGCTTCAGGTGGGCATATTCCTTTGGTTTGATGGATTCCCATCCCACGTAGGAGTGCAGCTGGAGAAGGGCCAGAGCAGAGCCCCTTAAATGTAGGCCCCTCTCATGTGCATCTAAGGTGGTAGCAGGTAGCAGCAGAGCCCCTGAATGTCTTTAGTAGGGTAATGACATATATAGTAGATCTAGAGCTTGAAATATAAATCTGTGTATTTTCTGTTTCCTACCTCCTCTCCTCTTGCACTGGTATCTTAATGGCAGGAATGTACTGGAAAGAAAACTCTATTCTTGACTCCACTCTCTCCTTAGGTGGCAACTCCTCTCCAATGCCTGGTTTCACAAATTATACTATTCTATGACTCCCTTATTAATCAGTGTATTAGAAACCTGGGTGTCTCTAAATGTGAGAAAACAGAAAAGCTATGAAGCACTCTTAGCCTGGACTGGAGCTTGGAACACTCACATTTGACTTCTAAATTAAAATGCTTTGGAAATAGAAGCTCCTGAAGAGGTCCAATGTGAAGAGTACACAGGCAGGAAGAGTACCAAACAGGCAGTAAGCCACCACAGACGGGGGCACCCCTCTCACCACCTGTCTTTATGCCACGACGCTTCACTCTGTGGCCTGACAGTCATGCTCTGTCCTCACAACCTCTCCATCTGGTACCAAGTACACCCTTCAGCACATTTTATATTAAGAGCTGCCAAAGAGCCAGAACTACCAAGGTTTCTGTTTTCAGGACCCAAGCCTAGAATTCTGCCCGTGGATCCTGTACATCTCTCAGATGATTTCAGCAGGAGGCTCTGATGCTCCCTTAATCCCAGGAGCGACATCTACTCATAGCCACACTCTCACTCACCATCTGTGGCTGGTCTTCACCATCAGCAGCAGAACAGAACCAGCCAACTTCTTATTCAGGTCTTACCATCTGCTGCCTGTGTCTGACCTGTTAGTCCAGGTAAGTACAATCCAACGCTTCTATCCCTGTTCCTTTCTAGCCCTTCCATCCTTACTGGTGTCCCCCTCTCTGAGCATGTGCTGGGGAAAGCTTCCTCCTGGCCGCTGCGTATTCCTGAGGGGCATAGAAAACCGTATCGTTGAAGAATCTGGAAGAAGAAATCTGGCTCTCTCAGACCCAACCTCCACTCCACCCTATTCAAGTTTTGGAGGAGCACCTATTTGGTTAGGTTAGAAGGCTGAAATTCTGCATGAATTACCCCAAGATTGAGGGAACAGTATTCATCTGTCCATTTGCTGACCACATGCTAAACCTCTGAGTTTGGTTTATTTTGAAGATACCCAGTTACAAAAGGGGGGAATCAAGAGGGTTGTAGTGGTTTATAAATATGTCCACAAAACTTTTTATTTATTTATTTATTTATTTCGGTGCGCGGGCCTCTCACTCTTGTGACCTCTCCCGTTGCGGAGCACAGGCTCCGGACGCGCAGGCTCAGCGGCCATGGCTCACGGGCCCAGCCGCTCCACGGCATGTGGGATCCTCCCTGACCAGGGCACGAACCCGCGTCCCCTGCATCAGCAGGCGGACTCTCAACCACTGCGCCACCAGGGAAGCCCACATATGTCCACAAAACTTTTGATACATCTCCCTTCAAGAGGTGGAGCTTAATTCTCTTCCCCATGAGTATGGGATTGACCTAGTGAATGATTCACTTCTAGCAAAGAGAATATGGCAGAAGTGACAGTGTATGACTTCTAAGACTAGGTCGTAAGAGACATTGCAGCTTCCTCCTTAGTTTCTCTCTCTGATCACTTACTCTGGACGAAGCCAGCTGCCATGCCATAAGGACATTCAAGCAGAGGCCCACATGGCAAGAAATTTAGGCCTCCAGCTAACAGCTATGTGAGTGAGCCATCTTGGAAACCTCAGTCCAGCTCCGGTTAAGCCTTCAGATGCCTACAGCCCCAGGCCAACACCTTGACATAACCTCATAAGCCGGGACCACCCAGCTAAGCCTCTCTCAAATTCCACACAGAAGCTGTGTGAGATAATACCTGTCTGGTTTTTTTTTTCCTTTTATTGAAGTATAGTTGATATACAAGGTTGTGTTAGTTTAAGGTTACTCATCTATTGTTTTAAGCCATTTCCTTTTGGCATCACTTGTTATCCAGCAGTAGATAGCTAATACAAAAGTGTTGAGAGTAGTTTAGTCTACTCCTACTCCTGGGCAAATATCTAAAAACTCACATCAGGCACTAACATTACCTAAAGAGCAAGGAACAACAGATTTGTAGCTATAATGGCTACATCTAAAATTCAAGCGATGCTGCACCAAAAGAATGCAGAAGAAATCATTTCTTGGTGGGAACAAAGATTCCAAGGCTTCAGACTATTAAGAGCATCAGAGCAAATTGGAGATTGCAACAATCGTGGAGCCATTTGGAGGCAGTCAATAGTAGGTCTTGAGCAGTAGGAAACTTTTCACCCTCAAAAGC